ACTTCAAGGAGGAAGGAACACCAGGACTGGGCTTTCAGGGATGAGGCAGTGGCTGGGAAGGAATGACAAGAACTGTGAGGAAGGAAGGAAAAGGTAGAGAGATGGACTGAGGAGATGACCCAGAGAGAGCCCCTACGGAGGCCCCGACAGAGAGACCCCAGTCCATGAACTGCCCTGTCCCGGCCTCGGCAGGTGGAGTACTTCGGCACTATCGGCATCGGAACCCCTGCCCAGAATTTCACCGTCGTCTTTGACACCGGCTCCTCCAACCTGTGGGTGCCCTCAGTCTACTGCTACAGTCTTGCCTGCAGTAAGTTCCCAGCCTGCCCCACCTCACTCTCGCTCCCCAGCACCAGCTGACCCTGGGGAACCCTGGATACCCCTGGGCTTCAGACACCTCCCACCTCAAGCCTGCCGGAGCCACTCGACAGGCATTTACTGAGCACCTACTACGTGCCAGGCACTGGGCGCAGGTGCTCCAGGGGGTAAAGGGATGAGTGATATGACCCCTGCGGTCAAAGACTTTCCAGGCTGAGGGGAGAGAGAAGCTCTCCAAAATAACCACAGCCTGGGAGAGGAAGTGTAGGGGCCCAAAGCAAGACAGGGCCAAAGGGCTGTAGGAGAGCCCGCCAGGAAAGAGTCCAGTGTGTGTGAGAAAATGGCTCCAAAGCCTGGCTAGGACATGCTGGAGATGAGTGCTGAGCTCGTTTTTCTAAGAACAAAAAAATTAAAAAATGATTGGTTTGCTAACGAAAGAGAGTTTGTCTTTGGAAGTCATGAGCAATGTGTGTGGTGGGTTCCTTCCTCTTCTAATGTATTCACCTGAGTTTTAATTAAGATGAGGTGCCTCTGGCTTCTTCCACATCATAACAGGAGCACCGGCCGGGGGCTGGGGGGTGAAAGCGCTCATCACTGGGCAGCCACCAGCCTGCTCAGCTCAATGTTGGCCTTGGGGGGTCCCCAGCAGGCCCTTGGGGTTGGCTGGGGACCTGCCATCAGTGAAGGGTCCCAGGAGTTCAATCAGACAGGACAGAACCTGGCATCTCTTGGGGTCCAAGGGTCTGGGGGAAAGGTCACTGCTCACCTCCAGAGCCCTTCCTGGGGCCAGGGCACCCCATCCCAGGAAGACATCGCAGCCTGTGACCTTCACCCAGCTCTCAGAGGCTGACAATCACCGCTTTCCCTTGCAGTGGACCACAACCTCTTCAACCCTCAGGATTCCTCCACATACCGGGCCACCAGCAAGACAGTCTCCATCACCTACGGCACCGGCAGCATGACAGGCATCCTCGGATACGACAC